CGGAAGTGGGGAGAAGGACCAGCTGGCTCCCCCTGCTGGTCTCTCTCTCTTCCATGCAGTTTGAATATGGTGGTGAGGAATCCAACCCAGCTGACGTCGCCATCCAACTGACCTTCCTGCGCCTGATGTCCACCGAGGCCTCCCAGAACATCACCTACCACTGCAAGAACAGCGTGGCCTACATGGACCAGGAGACCGGCAACCTCAAGAAGGCTCTGCTGCTCCAGGGCTCCAACGAGATCGAAATCAGAGCAGAGGGCAACAGCCGCTTCACCTACGGAGTCACCGAGGATGGCTGCACGGTGAGTCTGCCACCCCTGGGGCGCCCGGCACAGGTGGTACCAGGAGCCAGCCAGTGCCTGCCCAAGTGCGCGAGAGGCGCTCTAATGGCTAGAGGGTAGAGCGGGCGAAGGGGGGTTTCCAGCGGCAGGAGGCAGAGCAAAGCTGCGAACCAGTCTCCCCGCCAGTCCCCTTGGCTGGGATAGGCTGGGGAGAGGGTAGCTCAGGAAGGTGGTTGCTCTTGATCTCACCGCAAGAGCAACAGAACCTAGGAATCTGGTTTCCTGGGGCCCCTGCACCCTCTGAGAGCTGGGACGGGAGCCCAGGGGTCCACTTCCCCGTCCCCCCTGTCGGAATCACGGGGCAAGGCTGCCTCTGCCGTTAGAGCTGCTGGCTTGGAACCTCGGCCCCATCTGCCCCCTCACGGTCTCCTTTTCCCGGTCCCTCTCCGCAGAGTCACACCGGCACCTGGGGCAAGACAGTCATCGAATACAAGACAACGAAAACCTCCCGCCTGCCCGTCATTGACGTGGCCCCCATGGACGTTGGTGCGCCAGATCAGGAATTCGGAATCGACGTCGGCCCCGTCTGCTTCTTGTAAACCGGAGCTAAAACCTGCCCGGAAAGAAAACAAAAAACAGCCAAAAAGGAGAAAATTTCACATGGACTTGAATTCGTGTTTTTTTCTATCCATCATCTCTAAAACTATTTTTGTTTCCATTAAAAAAAAAAAGCATTAAACCAAAAAAATAAAAATAAATGACTTTTCAAAAAAATCCCAGACGTGGGTCCACTTGCTTGACATGGTTCTATTTCATTTCATTTTTTTTTTAAATCCCTGAAGACAGATTGGGGTTGGTTTGGTTATTTTTTTAACGTGATATCTCGGGACCACAACTTGCACAATCCAACCAAAAATACCATCCAAAACCGACCCTACCAAAACACCCAAATCACAACCTGCTTTGAAAATTTTGCAGCAAGAATGGTTTAGAACCTGCTCCCCCTGCTCCTACTCCTCTTCCACCAGTGCAAAAATCTCTTTTTATAACCTGGAGTTGGAAAAAACACCAAAACTAACTGCCAGCTGACCTCTCCCTGCTGGTGTCTTTACTAAATGTATTTTCTATACCGCTGCAAGGAAGGCACTTACAATGGTGTGTAATGAACCTTTTTTCCTTTCATTTGTTCAGGTGGCAAAAGAAATAAATAGGAGAAAAACTTCAAATCCAGGTGTTGTAATTGTTTTCCTAAGCAGAGCCTGGCAGAGTGGAAAACAGCCGAGATTGTCGCTTGGTGTGCTGCCTTTTAAACAGAAAGAGCTGTTAGCAGGACAGCTGGGAGAAACAATCCACTGAGACAAAAATCCAGTGTTTTGTCAGTGAACGATGAAGGGAAAATGAAGGACTCACAAGCATTCCCAACGCAGAAAATGTCGTGTTAAACCTGTGTATTACTGTTGTATGGAAGGTTACCTCTCACTGTGTTTTCCAAGTAGTTGTTTAGCTTGCTTTGAGGTTTTGAATGACACCAGATTGTGGAGAGGGGGCGTGGAGTCCAGGGTTAGATCAACGGTGCTAACTTTGTCTTTTTTTTCTTTTCGTTGGCTATGTTAATGGTTTTCGGTTCTAGGTCCCTTTTCTTTGTTTGGTGGTTTAAAGCTGCACGATCCAACTCATGGAGAGGCTGCGATAGGGACCAATTGGTGCTATAGATCTAGGACTGTTGTTTTAAGGAAAGAAACTCAGTTCTTTTGCTGCCCAGGGTCAACTTGTGAATTTTCTGATGGTGCTATTTAAAAAAAAAAAAAAAGAAACAACCCCCTCTAAAAGCAGGGCGGGAACCAATGCAAACAGATCCAAGTAGCCTTGAAAGGGAAGGAGAGCGCCAGCCTCTTTCCGGTTAAGCAGGTGGATTCCGTTTCTGCTTTCCTGACTCAACCCTTCGCTTTTCCCATCCCTCTGTCCTCCTTCAGCCTGCTGCCTTCTCTCTCCTCCACACCCCGCCCCCGCCGCTGGGCTGTTTTCTCTCGCCTTCCCTTCCCTCTCGCCCGCTCCTCCTCTGTGCTTCTCTGCAAGGGTCCCCAGCAGCCCCGCGCAAAGCCCCGTCCTGCAGGGCGCAGGTGTGCTAGGGAGGCGCCACCGAGGATTCTGTACCTGTTGTGTGTCTGTATGATAATTTGAGATGTTTTTAATTATTTTGACTGCTGAAATAAAGCATGTGAAATGATTTAAACAAACCTGTGATGCTCTGGACTCTTCTCTCTCGCATGGCTCAGGGCAGCCAGGCCTGGGGCGGGCGGGCGGCGGGCGGGCGGGCGGTGCCCCACAGGCGGGGCCGACAGGAA